GCCTGGCTTGTTTTTTTCCATCTGTTGTTCAATGATGATTTGTTTGCTTTCCGGTGGTTGAGTTGGGGGTTTTGGAGTTCCATTTTGGCTCTCTTTGTCTTCTTGGTCCATATTGTTGTAACTTGTACTTGCGAACTCATTGACTAATATAAGTAGGTTTTGGGTTTAGTAATTTAATAACAATCCTGTTAATGTTAGAGACCTCATTCTGCTACATTTCTGAGTAATGTACTCCCATTATTCATTAGAGATAATTTTAAGCCTGTGCCAACATTGTTCTTGTCAGTGGGAAGTTCTTTGCTGCAGTCTTTTTTTAGATTATGAATTTGGTGCACTGGTCATCCTGCCTTTGCAATCATTATCTTTAATCTTTTGGAGAGTTTGCTCTTAATTTGGTATCGGCAGTGCTTTTCTGATTTTGTTTCCCTTTAAAAATAAAGGTTCTTGTAAATGCATGTATACAACTTTTCACTCATTCAAAGAACTCTCAACTTTTCGTAGCAATATGGGGATATCAGAACTTTATACACTGCATGCAAGCATAGGGGCTTCGTGATGATATCTTACTACGACATCCGAGCCTCTCGCACTGCAATGCGTGCGTTACAGAACAAGCCCTTGAGACGGAGGAAACTCGACATTCATTTTTCAATTCCCAAGGTTTGAATAAATGTCTTCTATTATAATTTGTTCTGGCACTAGTGATTCAATTACAATATTCATAATGCATAGGTCCTTTTCTCTGCTGAAATTCAGGACAACCCGTCAGAAAAGGATATCAACCAAGGAACTCTTGTGGTGTTTAATTTGGATGCATCAGTGTCAAATGATGACCTTCGACAGATATTTGGGGCTTACGGGGAAGTCAAAGAGGTAAACTTTTGTGGAAAATGTTATGTCTTTTTCTTATCGTCCTTGTATTGCATGTGCAGTTGTGCACCTTTTCGCTGTCTTCATTGGTTGTATAAAATCTGAATTTTCGTGAGTACAAAATGCAGATCCGGGAAACCCCACACAAGAGACATCATAAATTCATTGAGTTTTATGATGTTAGAGCTGCAGAGGCAGCTTTAAGGGCATTAAATAGGAGTGACATAGCTGGGAAACGCATAAAACTCGAACACAGCCGCCCTGGTGGAGCACGTAGAAAGTAAGTATCAATTTACTGACTGCGGGTTCTGCAACAATTTGACAATTTGAGCTCAGGCATTTTGCTTTGCCCTGAATTTTATCATCTTTGTAATTTCCTAAGAGTGGCAAATAGTGAAGCAAAAGGGTTTTCTTGGATCTCAGTTGTGATTAACTAGTCGTATTTCCAAAACTCAATTATATCCAAGAGAATATATTTTCCTTTAGTGGATGACTGTATACGTGTTTTCAAGCACTGTCAATTATTGTATGGAATCAGGTTCACAACAAATACAAGTTTGTGGTGAAGATTAATCTGAAGTGTTTATGAGAACTTACTTGGATCTGTTGGAATCATATCCAGGGATATACTTTCAAAGGTTTTTTTGATTCCTCATCCAATACATAGGTCTAGTGCAATATGTAGCTTACTTAATACATAGGTCTTCTGCTATATGTAGACTGTCTACATGCGGCTTCGATCATTGGATAACACTGTTCTGTATATGTTTCGACTCCCTCCGTGTTGTACATATAACCTTTCTGAATCCATACTACAGACTTGATGTTGTTAAACCCTTAAGTGGGGTAAATAATTAATTCATCGCACTTTTTTGTTTTGTGTAGCTTGATGCAACAACTTACTCAAGAGCTTGAACAAGAAGAAACTCGGAGTTTCAGGCATCAAGTGGGTTCACCTGTGACCAACTCTCCTCCAGGTAGATCTCTCAGATCTGGAACTCAATTATCTTTGTGCTTGTGTATATCGATTACTGTATCGGTAGTTATTGGGAATGAACATCCTGCTATGAGCTAAAACAATGGCTACCATGACAGGTACCTGGGCACATATTGGAAGCCCCATTGAGCATAATCAGTATGCTTTTAGTAAGTCTCCGGGTCTGGGAAGCCTCAGTCCAGACAGTAACCATTTGCCTGGGTTAGCTTCGATTCTCCCAGCTCATTTTTCTAACTCTCCAAAGATTGCGCCTATTGGTAAGGACCAAGGAAGGGCAAACCATATAAATCAGATGTATAGCAACTCTCCATCAACACAAGGAGCAGCGTATCAGCATTCTCATTCGTATCCAGAGCAGAAATTAAGTGCAAGTCCAGGTCCCATCTCATTGGGTGAGTCAAATTCAACTTCATCAGGGATTGGAACTTTGTCAGGTCCTCAGTTTCTCTGGGGCAGTCCATCTCCATCTCCTTATGCTGAGCCTAATTCTTCTGCCTGCCCAACCTCGTCTGCGGGGCATCCATTTTCATCCAGTGGACAGGGGCAAGGCTTTCCATTGACCAGCCGGCATGGCTCTTTCCTCAGTTCACACAACCATCATGTGGGATCTGCTCCATCCGGTGGTGTTCCTCTAGAGAGGCATTTTGGCTTTTTCCCAGAGTCACCAGAAACATCCTTCATGAATCCAGCGTTTGGGGGCATGGGTTTAAGTCGCAACAGTGGGAATTACATGATGAACATGGGTGGTCGTGCAACTTTGAGTGCTGGTGTTGGTCTTCCTGGAAACATTACTGAAAATGGCTCACCTAGTTTCAGAATGATGTCAATGCCAATGCATGGTCCTTTGTACCTTGGGAATGGTTCATATACTGGACCTGCAGCAACCATTAATGAGATGTTGGCTGATCGTGGTAGAAGTCGGCGAATAGAGAATCCTGGGAATCAGATGGATAGCAAAAAGCAGTATCAACTTGATATAGATAAAATTGTCAGTGGGGAAGATACTAGGACTACTTTAATGATAAAAAACATCCCGAACAAGTAAGTAAAAAAGTTGTAACCAGCCTCAAAAGTAGATAGGTGCAGCTGTTTTTTGGTGGATTATGGTTTTGAATAACTGTAATCATTTTGCTCTATATTGTCTTTCTCATATTAGGTACACTTCCAAAATGTTGCTGGCTGCTATTGATGAAAACCATCGTGGTACATACGACTTTCTCTACTTGCCAATTGACTTTAAGGTAATTCTTTGCACTAATACTGATGCGATTGCTCTATAATTTCCGTAAGTTGATCTAATGCTAGCGGAACAAACTTATTTTTTTTTTGGCAGAATAAGTGCAATGTGGGTTATGCTTTCATAAATATGGTGTCTCCTACCCACATTATAGCCTTTTATGAGGTTAGTTTTGGTCATTTTTGTACGTTTGTTTGTTGCTGGTCAATCCTAAGAACTATATCCAAATATTTAACTGTTAATACGAGAATGCTTTATAAATTCATCAACCAGAGTTAAAACTATTTGGAACACATTCAATTTTTACAACTACTTATACAATTAAAATTGCCGCAGGCATTTAATGGGAAGAAGTGGGAGAAGTTTAACAGTGAAAAAGTTGCTTCATTGGCATATGCACGAATCCAGGGCAAAACTGCCCTTGTGACTCATTTTCAGAATTCAAGCCTAATGAATGAGGACAAGCGTTGCCGGCCCATTCTCTTCCACTCGGAGGGCCAAGAGACTACTGACCAGGTTATATGTTGGATTTATCTGTCTTTTTTGTGCGGTCATGATGCTATTGGCCTTTTTCTGCCCTAATTTTCATAATTCGACCTCAACATTGACTCTGCTAAGTCATTCAAATACCGTGTATTGTTTTCTGTTGATTTCAGTATGTTTGTCAATCCTCCAGGAAAATTACCTTTCCAGAAATTTGAACATATGTATTCGGCAGCCAGATGGATCTTACTCAGGAGACTCATTGGACAGCCCAAAGGGGGATCTGGATGAGAAGCCAGAGAACAGTTAACGGTGTATCGTTATATCTTACTCGCCTGATCCCCCGGGGAGGGGGGGTGTGGGGCTGCTAACTTGTGCATAGTTAAGTGTACAGTGTAGAGAAAGAAATCAAGCTATGGGGCGTATAATAACTAAATTATGGCTAGTGTCTGCTTTTGAGTGCTGGATACCTCTGATATTTACTGAGGAACTTATTGAACTGAAAGCGGCCGAGAGCATTTTGTTAATTTGTAGAGGTGCAAATTGATATTCAACCAAGGGAGTCGAATAAGGTGAAGCATATCGCTGAATTGTGAAGTCTCTCTGCAGCCATATGCGTTACTCAACAGGTTTCTGCAGAATCTCTCCTTTCTGTTTTTGCCCTTTTTTTTAGGGTAATGTCACGAGTCTTCCAAATCCCATTTGCAAATACGATTTACGTGTTTATATGGCGAAATGCCTTGTCGGGTGTAGGGATTCAGGTGCTGTTTAAAACGAAGAAAGAAAAGAAAAAGAAGTTTGTATAGAGGGAGGACAAACAGAATCAGCTTGTTCATATGTGTTGGTCTTATTATGTACCCGAAAAAATTTGTATTGGATTAAGTAAATACATGGATGTACAGATGTTTATATCTCTCTCATGTGCTTTTACAAATTTAACTGTTTTTGTACGGTTCCTGTTCTAGAAGGCCAACTCGAAAAAACGGCACGATTGAGGCATGCTGTACACCGGCGCGATTGTTGTGACTTTTTTCTGTTTGGTTGCCGAGAAAGTTTAGTTTTTGCGTCGCCACTGGCTTTTAAAGTTGTTTACAAGTAAAGCAAGCTGTTCATGATCGGCTAAGGCAACAAAATAAGCAAGATTTCCATTTTTGTTTCGTTTTGCTTTCGTTGTTTCCAAACGAGGATCCTCTCCGGATCATCTTTGTGAGAATCCCGAATATCTTTCAATCATATCCGTTCATCGTATGTCATGCGATCATAAATCATTGTAAATCTTTTTATTTAAAATTAAATATAAACAGTACCTGACGAAAACTGATCGCACAATATACGATGAACGGATGTGATTCAAGGATCCCGGGACCCTCACAAAGAGGATCCGGAGATCGTCATTCGTTGTTTCCCATTTCATTGAGAGAAATAGTGGTTTATTTTCTGAAGTCTCAAAGTGGGAGAGGCATGAGTCAACCCGAAAAACTTCAATAGAATTACATCGTGTCGCTTTTGGTCCGCACAAAATACAGTGACACACGAGGGAGACAAGCTCAACTAGGGATTTGGACACTCTTCTCCTCCTGCACACCCCTGTAATTCTCTTTTAATTGCTTTAATCCGAAAGCCAAAAATAAACAAGGGCGTGTGGAGAGAAAAGGTGGACTTGCCTTCTTATATCGCAGAAATTGGCCGGTAGAATAATGCTGTCATAAATTATGCAAGTTATCGAAGTATTTTACTCTCTTCAAGTCTGTAGAGCATCAGCAATGGAACCTGCAAGACTTAACACCTCGAAGGGAGCTTTATTAGCTACGGCTTTGACGGTGAGTGGGCAGGAATCCGTGATCCAAAAGTAGGCAAATGCCTTCTCCAAGCCATCTGAATATCAAATCAAAATCGGAATAAGGTTCATGGAAATTACAAGCACGACATAGACAACAGCATGGAGGTACTTACCATCCTTGTGAGTGAACTGCTCCCATGAGCGTTTAGGAAATACACCGTGGGTTACATAAGCGCTAACTTTGGCTGCACCATGAGCTGCCAAAACTTTCTGCCAGAATGCAAAGGACACAAAATGAATGATTTGAGGCAAATTTGAAGTTCCGAAAGCATCATGTTTGAAATGTTTCTGATGTACACATAACGATAACAGGTACAAAGCTACGAGATGTAATCACAAATAATTTAGAAAAAACAAAGCCATGCGCAAGGTCCACGATCTAGTCCAAGCTCGATAAAATAAAGCTAGCCATATTCTAGTAACTGAGGAATTGCAATGTTGAATGAACTTAAACTTGTCAAAATTCGGAAGCAACAGATTTGAAGGTACATAAACTGCAGGGAAGAAAAATGTTTATGAGCCATTACCTGGCACTCAATTAGGGTGCCGCCAGATTGCACTAAGTCATCAACGATGACTACATGACAACCAGCAGGATTTCCCTCCTTTATCCGAACTATCCTCTTGTCACCTTCACGAACCTTATTGCACACCACCTGCAATTAAACAATATCCCATTCACAAAGGTGATATTTGAAATAAATTATACAAAATAATTCTCACTTTTGAGAGAAACTCAGACTAACCATGGGAAAATGATCCAACTGCTTGTGGAATCGCTTCCATGCTCCATCATCAGGAAATGCAACAACTATCTGGAAGCAGACTATAGTTAGTATGGAAATAAAAAAAAGTACAGAAAATACAGCTAGTTAGCCACCATTCCTAGACAAGGCATGGAAACCAAATTTTTTTTACTGTAATGAAGCATTGTGAGACGCATGGAAGATAATGCGCGCGCTCACCTTATCGGAGTCAGAAAGCTGGTGGAGACGCTGCTTTAAGAGTGGAATTCCAGTCTCAAACAAAGGCAAAACATGGTCCCCAAAATAAAACCTTTCCTGCATAAAAATTAAACTGAAGTAATTAACACAAATATTCTGCCAAAAAAAAGTAATGACAAGCGATAATTTACAATCTCACACTACTATATTACACCTCAATGAAACACATATGTATAAACTATATGTGCAAACAACTTGATAGAATAATTTATGTCAAAAAATGTAAAAAAAAAATGACAAGTTTAATTATATTAAAAATTAAAAAGCTCATGCATGAGAACAAAGAGAAGACGAAAAAACCAGCATAACTGAACAAACCTGTAAAGCATGGATGTCATAGATGACTAAACTGGTTGGGCCACCTCTGGATATGGGAATATTTGACAGCATTCTTGCCATGGTAAACGCAGTTGCTACATCCCCTTCTTCTTCCATTCTTTCGAAGGAACCAGTTGGAAAGAAAGGCAATACTAATGTGAAGGACGCAACAAATAGCCGAGGCAGTGCATATATTACAGAAAGCTGCTCAAAGATAACTCCTTGGGAGCTGAAGGATCCCAGAAAGGCGACATGTTGGCCTCGAAGATCTTGTGCATTGTTTATAAATATGTTTGGAAACCCGTCATCAAAATTCCTGTATAAATTCGATCTCAATTAGATTCCTACTCATCTTACACAGTTTATTTGAGTATTACACAACACAAGCCATCTGTACAAGCATAACACAAGCGGCTAGTTTAACTTTCGATAATTACTAATTGACATCCCAGATACAAATCTTTTCTCTATCCCACTTATCTGGTCTAAAAAATTCTATAATTTTCAATTGCCCTTCACTTTCCAATTTACCCAGCATTCAAGTTATCCACTTTCCCAAACTCTTATAGGGAAGAAGCGTTACAAAAGAACAAAAGCTTGGTTCTTTTGGTTTTCTTCAATTAATATTAATTGCATCACCACCTTGAGAAAACTAAACAGGCAAAAGAAAATTACCCAACTTTTGTTTTCATCAAGTTAGCTGAAATAACAAGTACCCATCTCAAATTCATCACTAATAGACAAAACAAATCAGAACAATAAAGGGGAAAAAAGCATGAGAAAGCATGTAAGAGAGAGAGAGAGAGAGAGAGAGAGAGAGAGAGAGGACCTCCATTTGATGGTCTGGAGGATGATGTGGTCGGACTGAGAAGCGACCTGGCGAGCAAGGTCTTCGCACTCGGCGCAGTAGAAGAGGTAGAGTTGCTTCTGCTGTGACTTGTCCATGGCCGTCTATCTTTCAAAAGAAACAGAAGTTTACAGAACCCACAAACTCCACTGAGACAGAGACAAAGGGTTTCCGGGAGATGGTGAGTTGTAAAACTTGTATAAAGAGTTACGCACCTCCACATCATCTGAGCTGTTTTTTTTTTTTTTTTTTCCAAATTAAAATTAATGAAAATGTTTGAAAATTTGAGATTTGACGATAGAGGTAAAATAAATAGCATCATGATTGATTTTTTAATACATTTCAAAATTTTGAAATTGTCTTAATTTATACTTTGTACGATTTATATAATCTTCATTAAATTGATGACATGGTGAACATAAAAATCGTAATTATGATGACATGTAAGTAATATTTAACTAAAAAACTCATCAACTTAATGAATATTTAGACGTTCAAATATCTAGAAGGTATAAATTGATACAATTTGGAAGGTAAAGTGAGAAAATTGAAACTTAAGGACTAATCTTAGTTTTGCTTCGATCGTGGTCTTCCCAACCCCCTTCGATCGTGGTTTTGCAGTGGCGACGGCGGCGGCCGCAACTGTCTGGGTGTAGGGTTTGATATTAGGGTTTCATGTATTATGGGCTTCTATTTTTGGGGCTTTATACTTGGTTTTGGGCTAATGTATCTATCTTTTTGGTATTTGTTTTTGGGCCTTTTTTTAATTGTTTAATTAAATGCATTCTCATTACCAAAAGAAGAAAAAAAATCACCTCAAGCCTTGCTGTTATAAATTGGAGTAATGATATTCATACCATGTTTTTATACCATATTTCTATACCATTTTAGGTGAAATCTGATGTGGACAACCACATTATTTGAAAAATTTACAAAACCCAAGGAAAAGAAGGAGAAAGTCTTCTCGTATACTATAATCATCATTTAATTAATTAATTTTTCTTAATTATTAGTGTATTAACTAAATAGTGAACTAAATTTAAAAATCTAATTAATTCAAATGATGTGGCTGTCCATATCAAATGTCACTTAAGGTGGTACAAAAATGTTGTATAAAAACATGGTATGAATAACATTACTCTATAAATTGTAGTTAGCCTTTTTTTCCAATGCGTAAAGAATTTGTTTGGTTACTATTTTTTTTTTGTCAATTTTATTTTATTTTTGGCAACTTTAAAAGCCAACTGTGGCAAAGTTTTTTTATAATACCCTATCCATCAATGATCCATCAAAACCTATGTCCCCACATCATTCTACAAAAGGATAAAGTTAATTACAATTTTATTCCTATATACAGATACTTAAATGACAATTTGATTCATAAAAAATGACAATTTAAATTTAAGAACATAGTTTTTTAAAAATAAATTTAGTTGTCTTTTATGTGTGATGTTATTGGCACTTAAACTTATTGTGCATCCTAAATTTTTTTTTTCGAAAAAAAAATATACTTATTAGAATTGCACGATGACTTTTTTAAAGTGCTAATAGCATCTTTTTATTTTTTTTATTTTTATTTTTATTTTGTTTTTGTTTTTTATGGAACAAAATTATGTACCCAACTTTAATACGCAAATAGTGAGTCCCATTTTACTTAGCCATTCCCACCCAAAGTCTTTTTCCCAACTAACATTATATTCCACCCACCTTTAAGCTAAAAAGTTGAAATGTGTTGTAAAGGTCACTGGATGGCTGGCCACTAAACCACTTCAATCTGTCTTTATTGGATGGAATGTTAGGTGGCTCCACTAATATGCCTTTCACTATGTTGCTCATGATTTGCTTCTCTAAAAGCAAGTCTTATGGAACACAACACACCTAAGGATGAAAGTAAGAAGTTCACGGAAGAGGAAGAGAGAAAAGAGAGGAAGAGGAGAGGAGATAATAGAAAGAGTTATTTTGTACTCCTATATTCTAAATTATAATGAAAGCGCCACTGCTGTCCCGAGGACATACTCCAGTCACATTGACTGTAGAGTAACCTCGTAAATTTTGTGTCTTGTTTCATTTATTCCACTGCACACACCGTCGATTTTACAACACGTTATCAGCACGAGAAGCTCTCATATCAGTGGAAAGCACAACGCCATAAATCCGGTGAAGCATTACCTACCTCTCACCTCTGCTAGCCAAAATCTCACAGAATAAAAGGTATGTCCATTTTCTGCATCTTCCACCGCACTAGAAGCACCCCACCGAATTCCGATCAGAATTGAAATTTACAACGACCTGAAGTCGTCATGAGGTGAGAAAACTCGTACTTGACAATTGGTTTCCAGAGATCCAGAAGAACCTCATCAAATTTGGAAACCCAGATCGTGTCGTTTTCGACGGATCTTGAAAACTCCCATGAATACTCGGTTGTCTAAGATGGTGATGGCATGACTGACTCTACACAGGCGTCCCTCTCTTGTGCCTTCGTCAACCCCACTGTCATCTATGTCTTTGTAGGGAGGTTCTTGCTTTGCGATGCCATGTTCTTTAGGCCATGCAAGAACAACGCCAGTCTCTGGTAGTCTTTTTTAGATTGAATTGGTTTTGTGTGACCTTCACAACAACCCAGTTAGTCCTGGGTTTCGAGACTGGTTGAGACAGACAAAGAAAGAAAAAAAGGGGAAGTTTAAGGAATATGCATGGCACCATTTGAAAAAGACAATAGTGCATTTGCACCATTTGAATGAAAAATAATAACCAAAAAGGGGGAAATGGGGCCAAAGCTCTTGGAAAGGTGCATTGCACCATATGAAAAAAGAAGAAGAACAAAGGCTTCTTGGAATGTTGCAGCATGTGAATGAATAAGAAGAATAATAATAATAAAGGTAAGGTTTGTGAATGGTGTTAGCTTAAAACACTTTCACAAGTTCTATTTACTTTAAAGTAATTTATTTACCATGGACGGTTTTACCACCTACTATTTTAAGTTTTGATTTATGTGAATGGTGCTGAATTAAAGCCCTTGTCACAAGTTTAGTTACTTAAATGCAATTTATTCACTATGGCTGAAATTACCGCCTATTGCTTTAATTTATTTATTGTACTTATCTTTTGTTACGATGAGTATATATAAGACTTGAAGTTCCTTGATCAGATCAGAACCTGTAGTTTCTTAATCCTCATCATATAAAATGATTGAACCCGAAGTTCCATCATATAGAAAGATCAGGCATGAAGTCCCTTGATCTTGAAGATCAGGACATGAAGTTACTTGATGAGCACCGTAAGTTTGAAGTGCCGCAATGCCTTAACTTAATTGTAATAAAGGCCAAAAGAGTCTCAGTCTACAGATTATTAAATAAGGACCAGAAGTTCCTTATGTCCATACTCAAAATGGTTTAACAGAAGCATTTATTAAGTGGATGAAATTGATTACCTGCGCTCTGCTCATGAAAACAAAATTGCCAGTTTTTATATCGGTACATCTTATTTTACATGATGCATTATTAATTCGGTTGAGACACGTTACCAACCATTAATAATTCTCAGTACAACTCGTGTTTGGGAACCAGCAAAAAATTATACATTTACGAGTTTTTGGTTGTGTTATCTATGTGCCTATTGCACTGCTACAACGTACTAAAATGAGGCATCATCGCTGATTGGGCATTGATGTTGAACACCATCTATCATTCAATATTTAGAACCCTTGACTGGGGATATGTTTACCGCGTGGTTTGCGAATTGTCATTTTGATAAGATAATTTTCCTGCTGTTAGGGGGAGAAAATAACATCGTTCTAGAAGAATGATGAGAAAATATCATTCCAGAAGAATGATGAGAAAATATCATTCCAGAAAAATGATAAGAAAATATCGTTCCAGAAGAACGAAGAGAATTTGTCTTATTTTGATTCACGAAGTAATCAACATGAAAATGAAGACAAAATAATTGAATGATGCAACGATGTATCAATCAAATGTTAGATGCATTTAATGATGCAAGAAAGTGATGAAATCACATATATTTGTTGCAAATGTGCCTACAAGAATTGATGTCCTTGTTGGACAAAAATAATGAGGCAGCAAATGATTTATCTGTTGCATGCCTGAAGCGTGGCAGACCCTCAGACTAAAAAAGATTCAGTCTTCTGAAAGAGGAAGAATATGGCACTACTAAACTATTGCATTCCCGAAGCATAACTGTTGCATGCCAGAAGCATGATAGTCGCCGCATGGATATACGTCCTAGAAAGGACAATCCGTAGACATGGGAATGTTCATGTCTCATGCATGAAGCATGATAGACATATATGTTCCAAATGACTCAACTCCCGGAAGTCGAGATTAGAATCCAAGCTCTATAACGCTCAAGAAGAGGTTATGATCCGCATTCTCTAAATTATGACTATCTTGGAAGAGATAGTGTAATGCCCTTGAAGAGGCAATGGATATCCAAAAGAAATGAAAAGTTTTTATGCATGCGCATGCACATAAAAATATGGGATCAAGATTGATGATAACCAATGGTAATTTTGGTTTTTATAAGTAGCTACTAAATTCATCAATGAGCTATGTTGATATTGAGTCTCGTTCTTTTCCGTCAACAAAAATTATTGGCCAAAATGGAAAAAGGCAATTCCATTACAATTTTGTAAGAATATGGAAAAATGGACCTATATATATTTGAATATAATACAAATAGCTAAAAGATGTTGAACCAAGGAGGTTACATTGGGCATTTGTAATACAGTGAAATACACTCACATGATATGACACAAGGTTGTAAACGAGTTCATATGAATGGAGAATTATATACGAAGGGTTGTGAGTCGCCCACATCATATCTCCATAAGTAAATCCCTCAATTATACATGGGAGCAAGTTGCTATGTATAAATTCTAAAGGAAAATGTGTTATGAAGTGTAGAAAATCCCTGAAGGATTCAAATTGCTTGAAGTAAGCCTCGGAAGGGTAAAGCATAAAATATGTACTCAATATCAATGGATGGTATAAATTGCCTTAGTGAGTACTATTATTATGATATTGTTGCAACATACTAAAATCTCTTGCAAGAGTTGATGATATTAAATTAGAACTCCTGAATAGTTGATGATATTAAATTGGGACTCCTGAAGATTCAAGAAAGTTTATAAAGTGTTGAGAGAAATATTGTCTCGAACTGCAGATC